TGTTGATGAGGACTGCTTGCTTATTAGGCCCTATTGACATTTTTTTTTTTTTTTTTTTTTTTTTTTTTTGGTTTTTTCGAGGCAGGGTTTCTCTGTGTAGCTTTGCGCCTTTTCCTGGAACTCACTTGGTAGCCCAGGCTGGCCTCGAACTCACAGAGATCCGCCTGCCTCTGCCTCCCGAGTGCTGGGATTAAAGGCGTGCGCCACCACCGCCCGGCCCTATTGACATTTTAAAAGGAGTATGTTTCTGCCTGGCAGTTCAGAGAAGATGACCTGTCTATCAGCTGCTCATTACGCCCTTTGCCTCCTATCAGAAGAGCATAATTCTGCCAGGCAGGCAGAACGGCCCAGGTTAACAGCTGCCCCAAAGTGCAGTTCTGGCCGGGACTCTTTCAAGATAACTATGACAATTACCCATTTGTCCAAATGACCACAATTTGCAGGTTTTGTCTCTAAAATATTGTGAAGATGTGACAGCCAGCCCTAACCTGATGGCACTGTGTTTCTGCCTGCCCAGAAATGAACTGCTCTATCCCAGTCATTACAGTGCTCAGACTCCAGTAACAATTTACACAGGTTCCCCTGTGATGACTAGAGAAACTTACTATGGAGCCAGGCATCCCTTAAGGGCTGCTGACCTTTGCTCTGGAATGCCTGGGAGATCCTAGTGGCCGGCAGGCGAGCTAAGAATAGGATAATGGGCTGTGAGGTATTAACAGCTGCCTCTGCTTGGGTAAAACTTGCTTGTTGCTATGGGAAAGGGATGAAATGGTCTTTTTATTACTACATAGTGGGAAAGAAAACAACTGAGGGAAGTAAAACAGTTCTCCTGCCCAGCTTCGGATTCCATGGGTAGTCGTAATGCATACCTTTCTGATGTCTGCCCTAAAACCACCTTAATCCTCCTCCTGCATCTGCATGCTGTTTGGCTCTGAGGCTGCCATCCTTCTGCATTTAATCTAAATTTGAATTGAGCCTGTCTCTGGTTTCTCCCAGTGGACTCAGACTCCACAATATGTTTAGTTGCTCAAGGTGTAATTTGGGGGCAGGAACCTACAGGCAGTTTACAGATAAAAGCATATGAAAGAAGCCGGGCGGTGGTGGCGCACACCTTTAATCCCAGCACTCGGGAGGCAGAGACAGGTGGATCTCTGTGAGTTCGAGGCCAACCTGGTTCTCAAAGTGAGTTCCAGGACAGGCTCCAAAGCTACAGAGAAACCCTGTCTCAAAAAACCAAAACCAAACAAACAAAAAAACAAAGCATATGAAAGAATGCAAAGCTACAGCACAAACCCGCACAGGGTATGGCAGTCAAGCCTCCTTGAGCAATAATTAGGAGCTCGATAAAGAGTCTCTCCCCCTTTATCTCTGGGTGCTTGTGTGAAGGCAATACAGACTTCATCTTAAGGAAGGGCCACCATCTTAGACCACCTGCTGTACTCAGTTCCAGGAAGGACCTTAGGAATGTGCCAGGATACAGGGCAGTATGCTCCTGAAGATATCTAGATAATCCTGCTCAGCAAATTGTGATTCCCTGGCAAAAAGTCCAACCCAATAGTTTCAAATATGGTTTTATGCTGGAAGTTTAGACCAACAGTTTAAAAAAAAATCACCTTGCCCTTCTACCTAATCCCAAATTGCCAAAGCATGTAATTACTGGCTTGTGGTTTTTCTCTATAAAAACTCTCTACCCCTGGGCCTGTGGCTGTGACCGCATTTCCCTTCATCTGCCATGCGGTGGCCAAGGTTCACACCTGACAATAAAAGGTCCTTATGTGCTTGCATCAGAAATTGGCTCCTTGGTGGTCTCTGGGGGGGGGTTTGAGAAATGGGTACAACACTTGGAGCAACTTTTTTTTTTTCTCGAGACAGGGTTTCTCTGTGTAGTTTTGGTGCCTGTCCTGGATCTCACTCTGTAGACTAGGCTGGCCTTGAACTCACAGAGATCCGCCAGGCCTTGCCTCCCAAGTGCTGGGATTAAAGGCATGTGCCACCACCGCCCAGTGGGGAGCAACTTCTTGATGGTATAAATTAATCTGCCGTTTCAGGAACAGATGATTGTTAGGTCTCAAACCCAGGACAAATGGATAATGAGGTGCCTATTTAACATATCAAAGTGGACCTGACCTTCATGTTCTCCCAGCACCCCTCATTCCCTACCTGTTATAGGTAGGGGTGGCATACCCTGCCTACCAGGGCCAGGGCTGTCCTTCCCCCAGCTGCCCTTCCCTATATAATCTAGACATTTTGGACCTGTCCTTTTGTGTTTATTCTCCCGAATCTCCCCTCCTCCTTCTCATCACATGACCTGGCTCAGGGTCATATTGACTCTGGACTCTCCTAGATGTCCCTGATTCTGGCTATGCTCTCCCTTTTATCTACAATAAACTTCCTCTTCTACCATACCTAGGAGCAGTCATGTCCTTCCTTTTTTATTTCTTTTTTTCATTTAATGATGAAATCCAGTGACTCCTAGTTTGCCTTTGGGGTAATGTAAGTGGGCTACTGAAGTATAGTTACATCATTTTGTTAAAGTATTCTTAAAAAAAAAAAACTTCAAGTGCTAAAATTATCTTGGATAAACTGGTTACTGGTCACATAGACCAGCCATGAATTTCTATACAATGTGTCCCGGACCTCAAGGTTATGAGAACAGCCTGATCAATTAACTGCTATCTTTCTGCTTCTGTAAACAACACTTGCTTGCTTCTTCAGATGGCCACAGCTGCCTTTCTGTGTATGTCACACAGTTGTGGTTTGGCCAATCTGCAGTGTCACCAGGAGCAGCAGCAGGGGCAGCAGAGGAAGCCAAGTTATGCCATCACCGCCACTGCCAGGTACAGCGCATTTCCACTGTCTACTTGCAATATGAGTTGCATAGCAACATGTGCCCACTTTAAAGGTCCTAGCCACCCCAGATCATTCTGTCTTGTTTATTCTGTCACCCAGTCTCTCTGTCTGTCTGATCTCCCAGCTCCAAGCTGGCCTTTCACTCTCCCCTCCCCCAATACACTTCTTGCATTAGATCTGCTGCATGGTACCCTTTTTTGCTGCCTTATCCAAATGCAAGCAGGGTTGCTTCCTGCTACTCTGTATGGGACAGCAGGATGAGAATATATATAATTCATAGAATTTGACTTATTCAGGCCTCTCTTTGGGTATCAAACAATAGTACAGATAGTGTAGATGTTAAGTCTCAAACCCTGGTTTCTATTTAACATATCAAAGTGGACCTGGTTGCCAGGCACTCCCAGCATCCCTCAGCCCCTAGCTGCTACAGAGTGATAAGTTTTGAACCCCCAGTTATTGGATATCCACCACTGCTGATTGTTGGACTCCAAAGTTTAGGGTCTCAAGTGGGCGCCCCAAGAACCCAGACTCCAGTCCAGTTGATGCAACAGCACGAGGATTTATTAAGCTTCTATATAGAAGGGCTCCTCTGCTCCCAAGAGCAAGAGTCACATCTTACTGCAGCCCCATAAGGTCTTTTAAAGGAAAAACCCACAAAACCCACAAGATTACAATTCCCATACAATTTCATGGCCTGATCACAGGGTGATCACAGAGTGGGTACAGTCACGTCTGCAGGCACATTCTTCTTGAAACCTCAAGGGGGGTATCAGGGCAGGAGTGGAATTTACACAAAGGTCACAGTGGTCCTTCCTGGAACACCTGCAACTATCCCAGTCACAGTTGAGCACATCTCTTAACAGAAATCTTTTTACATTGTTATATTGTTACAGGGGTGATTGAGTAGTGGCTGAGTCAGGTGGCCCTTGGAACTAGATTATTAGTTTCTCATTTCCTGGTGCTTGAAGTTTCTCTTTTTCTGAGGCTTGGGGGTGTAAGCCTGAAGGGCTGGGGTCTTTCACTGATGTAATAAGCCAATGAAACTGAATTAATAAATCCAGGTTTAGGGAACTGAGCAAAGCATCCTGGGTGACACTCAGTAGGGCAGGAGAGGAATCACATGGCAAATATGGTGGCCAGGTCTTAAGTAGCCTACAGGTGTGGTCTTGAGCAGTCCTGGGGAGGGGCTAACTCTTGTCGGGCTTTCTGAGGGGAGGGGGCCACTGTTTGTTGGGTTTTCTGAGGGGGCAGGGTCTAGGGAGAAGGAGAGGTGGGGCTTCCATTTAATCATCCCAGACTCTGGGTATATTCTGGACCTTCCACCAGAACATTGGGTATGGCTGGCATACCCTGCCCTCTACCCTGAACTCTCTGTTATGCCCAGATCTTGGGGGCCCCCAAAAGACCACCACGGAGACCGAATTCCACATGTAAAAGCAAAGAGCCTTTACTTCAAGCTCCAGAGCTTGGTCCCTCTGTCTGACACAGCGGTGAGAGCAGAGAGCCCCAGCTCAGGTCGGGTGGGGTTTTTAATCATAGCAGAGGTTGGGGTGAGGGGATTTCCAGGGTTCAGGACCCTGATTGGCTGACAATTGTCTAGGGGTATCTTGGTAAGAATGGGAAATAAGTGTGCACTAGGCTCAAGGACATCTGGCCACCTTATCTAATGGTTGGGATGTTTGGGATGGTAGGTATTTCCTCATCCCTGGGTGGATCCCTGGGTGGTGCCAGCTTAAGGCTTTTCCTGGATCTGGGTGTTGCCTGCCAGTAAGCCTGTCACAGAAGCTGTGTCTGGGCCCCTAATCCTGTTATGGCAGCTGTGTGGTCAAGCTGTTTTGGGGCACCTTCACCCTCTCCAGCCCAGAGTGTGGAGAGTGTGGGCTGTCCTTCCCTAAAAATCCAGACATTTTGGTTACTGCCTCCTTTTTACCTTTTGTCTTCTTGGCTACTGCACTTGGTCCGTGTCCCTCCCTTGCCCCCAACATGGCTCAGGATCCTGTTCACTCTGGACTCTCTCAAATCTCTCTGCCTCTGGCGATGCTCTGTCTTTTATCAACAATAAACTTTCTCCTCTACTATACCTGATAGACCCCAGACCCAGGGTACTACCTTCTGGAGGGGGCGCCCCAAGAACTCAGACTCCAGTCCAGTTGATGCAACAGCACGAGGTTTTTATTGAAGTGACTGTACAGATGGGCAAACTCTGCTCCTAAGAGCAAGAGTCGCATCTTACTGCAGCCATATGGGGGTTTTTAAAGGAAAAACCCACAAAACCCACAAGATTACAATTCCCATACAATTTCGTTTCACAAGATCATGGTCTGATCACAGAGTGGGTACAGTCACGTCCGCATGTACATTCTTCCTGAAACCTCAAGGGGGGTATCAGGGCGGGAGTGGAGTTTACACAAAGGTCACAGTGGTCCTTCCTGGAACACCTGCAACTATCCCAGACACAGTTGAGCACATCTCTTAACAGAAATCTTTTTACATTGTTACATTGTTACAGGGGTGATTGAGTAATGGCTGAGTCAGGCTGCCCTTGGAACTAGTTTTCTTTTTAGTTCCTTAATTCCTGGGGCTTGGGGGTGTAAGCCTGAAGGGTTAGGGTCTTTCATACCTAGGAGCAGTCAGTGCCCTTCCTTTTTATTTTTTTCATTCATCTGTTGTCAAAAGCCAGGAGGGGCATAATTGAGCTTCCTCTGGGGAACTCGCCTCTCTGAACCAAGCTGCAGATCCAATTCTCCTAAGGTATGTATGGATCATTTGTGTCTGCTGGCTTTTGTCACCCACCAAATTTGATTCGAGAATTGCTCCTTTCCCCCACCTTAACTAACCATCCATCTCTCCCTGCTATTCAGTAAGTATTCTCTCTCTGGCTTCTGGAGCCTGCTACCCACTTTGGGGTGCTCACCATGTGGGCACCTCCCTGCTACCCGCTTTGGGTTCCCACCATGTGGGTAATTCTATTTACTAAGACACTTGCTCCTCTCCCTCTATCGGAACCCTCCCTTTTCCAAAAGCCTCTCCCAGTGCACCTCTCCAGCTGTTTCCTCCTCTGTTGGTTAAGCAGTGGCACTCGTGGCTGGCCGATGCCTGTGGCGGCCATGCCGACAGATGTTGTGGTGGCAGAAGAATCACGAGCCATGGTTACCTTTCTAGAGCTTTATGGGGGGGGGGGGAGGAGAGAGAGAGAGAGAGAGAGAGAGAGAGAGAGAGAGAGAGAGAGAGAGCGCACACAGAGGAGAAAGAATACGGAAAGAGAGGGCACAGAGAGGGCACGCCCGCTTTTTAGGCTGGGATGCCATTGTAGGCTGATGACATAATTAAGGACATAATCCTTACATCCCAGACTTTTGCTTATTACAAAAAAAGCAGGTAGATGGGAATAGGGGCGTTATTCCTCTCAAAAGCTGCTTCCAGCTGACTATTAGACATCAGTTGGCTCTTGGGGGAATGGAGAAGGGGAATCCTCCAAGGTAGATAGGCGTTGTGGAATACTGTCTGCCATCCATTGTTCTGGAGACATGTATCCCTCTTGACTGTGGCTGGGAACCTTCTGTCTGACAAGATGCTGGTGACACAGAAGAAAAGCTTAGAGAGAAAAGAATCATCATTATTTTATGTTGGCACTTATCTGAAGTAGATCTGGCCTGTCGAGATGGATTTAAGCCTGTTTCTGGAGCTTGGGAAGAATTTTGAAACATGTTAAGCTTTATCAGAGACAGATTATTTTAAAGCATCTATTTCCTTTACTAGTTTGGTATCCAGGAGACAGGTGATCAATTGTTAAAAGCATTTTATAGTAATAGATGTTTACATTAAAGTCTTTTTTGTAGTGCCCAGACGCTTTTGGGTCTGGGGGTGTAAACACGTTTTAGCTGTTACAGTTTCTTATTTGATGATCTCTGGACTCCAGTTCTGTGGTGGTCCTGTACCATTAGCTGAACAGTGAGTTAGAACAGGGAACTGGGAAGAGAAAAGCTTGTGGTGCATGAGAATTTACTTTTTTGAATTAGGGACAAGGCAAAGATTAGGGCCCTGTCTGTGTGCCTGTGAGAAACACAGGCAGTAGATCTGGAGTAAGACAATGAGCTCTTATCTTAGCTGGAAATCTTTTTCCATTAAGTAACTCTGAAAGTACAATTAAATCTGGTGAGGTAGGTAAGGCTGTCCTCTGTACCCGACGATAGAGAAAGGAGAGGTGACATCCCAAAACTTCCAGGACCGAATTAGTGGTTTTGGTGTCCAGAAGGAAAGAAGCAGATTGCTTCCCTGCTGCGTTCTGGGTTCCCTGTCATGTCTGTAGCCAAGCCTAGGTCTGCTGGAGGTCTTAGCTTGATGTACCCATGCGTCTTGGCACCTGGGGGCAGTCAGCTGACTGGTTGTCTTTCTAGGCAGCACTTTTAACAAGGCTGTTGATGGCCTGGCAGGGCATTCTCTAGCCCGTGGCCTTTTCCTCATTTAAAACAGGGACCCAACAGCTTTCGGAAGTCAGCGAGTGCCAGCACTTGGCAATTTTGTTTTTGGGGTTTTATCTCTTCCCTGGTACACCTTAAATGCCACAGATGACTCTTTTGCCTGTGGGGTCAGGAGCCTTGCTCTCCAGATGCTTAAGTTTTAGTCACGGAGGTCTGTGGAACAAGAGATGGATTTTACTCCGTGTCCTGAAATTTTCTTTTTTTTCTGATGATTGTTGGCTTAAGGACAGCGTTTGGAAGATCTGCCAGGAGGCAGACTATAAACCGACCCTTTTGTCAGACTTGTCTGAGGCTATAAGCTGATTTTTGGCTTAAGAGCCATCCTAACTATTGTACACTTATTTGCATGGATCTTAGCTGCTACCAGACCCGTCTCTGCTTCTCAAGGTGTTTGAGAATGAGTGGGTGGAGTTAAGGTGAGTTAGGGGGAGTTGTAAAAACCGCCCAAGCCCACCCATTTGAGCCTGCCCACTGCCGGCGGAAGTCAGACAGAAAAGGTTGCATGTGGCAGAGGCAGAAATGGGGAGGGAGAAGGGTTCAGAGCTTTAGCAGAAAGCTTGAGGATAAAGTAACTCTTTTATACGCCTGTTCGCTTGCAGAAGTTCCTGAGACACTGTTATGTGGCCAGATTTACCGGTACCCGCCCGTTTGTCCCATGGCTTTTGTCCATTTGCTGGCAGAAGTTCCCATAAAGCTGTTATGTAGCCAGATTTATTGGTATCCATCCCTTTGTCCCATGGCTGTAGCCAAGAGAAAAATAAAAAAAAATTAAAATAACAAACCGGGATCAGACTCCAATCTCAGTCGTCCCCAGGAATGGAGAGATATATGAATCAGCTCAAGTTAGCCATCTTCTTCATCAAGGGATCATGAAGGCTGTGGCTGTGCTGCAGTTGGTACACTGTTGGACCCGAGACAGCATTGACCCCCCTCGTCAGGAGCAAAAATGTGCCTGCCATTGCCAGCACAGCCCGAGGACAACCCCTGGAGTGTCCGTCACAAAGAATATAGCTCAGACTACAGCCGCGAGAATGGCGGACTCACTCACTGTGGTGAAGAATCATGGCGGTAGCAGTAGTGGTAACTGTGTGGGGGTCCAGAGGAGGCGAGGGATGCTCGCATGCATGCACGCTCACAGTCTTGAGGTCTTGCTGAATGGGGGAGGAGGCGGCAAGCAGCAGCAGGTCCTTGTTGATCTATCCGAGTCACGACACCAGATGTTGGTTAAGCGGCAGCACTCGTGGCTGGCTGCTGGTCGTGGTGGCCATGCCGATGGATGTTGCGGTGGTGGAAGAATGAAGAGTCATGGTTACCTTTCTAGAGCTTTATTGGGAGAGAGGGGAAGGGAGGGAGGGAGAAAGAGAGAGAGAGAGAGAGAGAGAGAGAGAGAGAGAGAGAGAGAGAGAGAGAGCGACCGTGCAGAGGGGAAAGAATACAAAAGGAGAGAGTTTGGAAAGAGAGGGCACAGAGGGCACGCTCACTTTTTAGGCTGGGATGCCATTGCAGGCTGGTGACATAATTAAGGACATAATCCTTACACCCGCTACCTGCTCTAACCACTCGTCTCTCCCCTTCTACTGGGTAAGTGTCACTGTGGGGCCCCCTGCTTTGTCTGCTTTTACTATGAAATCCACACCAGTGTGCCAGGAAGCTTCTCTTGCCCTCCTGCGCCCCTATCACATGGAACGAGGTGCCCCTCCTCTGTGATTTGGGACATTTCTCTCTGACAAGCCTCTCAGTCGGCCTGGGGACACCCTGGAAATTCTTGTTACCACAACACTTACTTCTTCTGCTCCCTCATGGCCCCTCTTAGCTCCTTCCTAAAACTTCCTTGCTTCCCCTAGGAGCTGCCTACTAAGTTCCATAGCACCTCCACAAGCTCCCGGGTCTGCAACCCTTTCCTTGCCCCACCCCTGCTCAATCTCTCCTTGTGCCCTCTGGGCCTGTACTTTGGGAGTTTCCTTGCCTCCCCCTAGGAGCTGCCCGCTGAGTCCTGAAGCTTCCTTAAGTCCTTCTGGGCCCCTGCAACCTTGTCCGTCCTGTCTCTCAGCTCCCTCCTGGAAGTCCTGTACCTTCTCTATGCCCTTGTGGCTTCTATGATATTGGATCCCTCTCTCAGGGGGAGTTCCTGCTTGTTCCTCCTTGTCTCTAATGGCTACACTGTTCTCTATTAGCTGCCTCTTGGAGTTCATTGGAATGCTCTCTCCCTTTTTATCTACAATAAACTTTCTCATCCACCATACCAGGAGCAGTCATGTCCTTCCTTTTTATTTATTTATTTTTCATTTAGTAGCTACTGGATTGCCTGAAAGAAGATATTCTAAAGAGACACTGTGTCTCTCAGTCTATCAGACTAATAAACAATAGACACAAAAGACATGGGAATGTCCCTGGGAATGTCGTGCTGGGAGAAGGAAAAGTTCCCAGCTAGAGAGGGAATTTTTCTCCCGGAAAGAGAGTTCACAGAGTTCTAATTACTTGCCAGACCACTTTACAGGATAAGACAAAAACCCAGAGGTGTTGAGTTGTGCATATTGCTGGCCCTCTAAACTCTGATCTCACTTCAGGACCCTGAAGAAGGACTCTTTGGGGAGTTCACTAGATCTCTTTGTCCTTCTTCCTAATGTAGCCACATTGAATAAATCTCCTTTCCCTGCTTTCTATTTTTTTTAAATTTCTTTTTTTCTTTTTTGGTTTTTTGAGACAGGATTTCTCTGTGTAGCTTTGCGCCTTTTCCTGGAACTCACTTGGTAGCCCAGGCTGGCCCCGAACTCACAGAGATCTGCCTGCCTCTGCCTCCCAAGTGCTGGAATTAAAGGTGTGTGCCACAACCGCCTGGCTTAAATTTATTTTTCTATTATCAGCTTGATACAGTATAAATTCTTATCCTAATAGTTTCATTGAGGCTTGCCCAGTAATTGAGTAAAACCAAAACTTATTATAAGCCACAGTCATCCTAGGGTCCCCCATGCTATACAGCCTCCCCAGTTCTGTGGGTTGCAGTCTGATTGTTCTTTGCTTTGTATCTGCTTTCTATTTTAAAGTGGCTCTTTTCATTGACTTATTGAGGATGGGAATGTGGACCTGACTGGGGGAACAAGTTGTGACCCCTCCCAAGTCAGATACCAATGGAGACATAGGTTTGGTAGAGAAAGAACTGAGGCAGGGAATAAGAGGCATGCACAATTAAGCATTCATGATGAAGTGCCAGAGTCCAACTCCAGGAGAGGGCAGGGCCAAAGTGTGTGGATGGATGCAAGAGGGGTGAAATCAACACAGGACCCTTTTTAGTTTCGTTTTATGAGAGATGGACAGAAAGGAAGCGCATCTTCGAATGGCCTGACCTACTCTGACAACCTGCATCTCTCACAGGCTTTACTTATATACAAAATCATTTCCTCACAGATTTTTAGTCATTGTTACAAAGCCTTTTCATGGTACATACTTTTTCTAAAGTCTTCCTTGGTTAGATAAACATATCAAAGTAAAAGAAGCAAAATGAGCAAACAGCAAATTTCATGAGAACTAAAATCTGACATTATAATAAAATCAATTCTTTTAACTCAATGTCTTTTTCCTTAAAATTGGTGCCATAAACCCTTGCAGTTACAGAAATACAAGACAGAATGTCTCTATTTAAAGTTTGACTAAGTTAATAGATCAGAATTCATTACCTAACACCTGTTATATCAATCTTCTCCTGTATTATTTTATTTATCTACTATAATGAATATCTGATCTTTCTACAGAAGCCTAATTACTCAGTCCCTTGTTCTTTTCCTTTCTTTTTTCTATTTTTCTTTTGTATCTGACATGAGACCACCACCTTCTCCTCTGACTTTTGAAGTGCTGTGCTCTGTTCTTTATTATTTCTACAGTATCAGAAAAGTCCTGATCTGACAGGTCTGCTCAGGAAACCAGGCAGTTCACGGAGCCAGAATGTTTCTTTTTGTGTCTCTGTCATAAACCCTTGTTTCAATGTGATCCCTATCTTTATTAAAATCCTGAGAAGGGTTGAAGAACATCAAGATTCCTAAAATTGCTTACTTTACCTTCAGGAGGGTACAAGGCTGTCATTACTTTTATAATCAAAATCTTTTCCTTGTTCATGCTAGTTCCATATTTCTGAGGCAGAACAAGCAAAAATTGTGTGGCAAATTTCACCAACAGGCAGTGAAGGGTCAGTTGAGGTCATCCAAGCACTGGAACTTTGTCAAACAGTGCCTTCAAGATGCTTGGTATCACCAGTGATGGTGTGTTCTGGTCAATCATTGTCTCAGGTTTGGCCTGAGGAAGTTATCTCTGTCATCTCATGAGGGAACAGTCTGGTTCTCCTGAGATGGTTACTTCTGCCCTAGCACAAGGCCTCACAATCATGGATAATTGTCCCCATCTGCATGCAGCAGGGACTACAGGCTCATGTTACTTGGGGGTAGTTACTTGGGGGTAGTCCCAGTTTATAGAGATGTTTATCAGTCATGGAATCTAGGTGACTGAAGAGGAAAGGAAGGGACATAGAACCAGAAGGACAAGAGGGAGTTACTCAGGCCAGTAATCTTCATAACCAGTTTACTGAACTATTCATCTGAATCAAACTGAATAAAACAGAGACAAGTTCCTATTTTTAGTGTAACTTGCTGGTGTAACAGGCAGAAATGTGCAGTGACTTCTACTGTTAGGTCACGAGTCTGTCCTTTTAAGACTAGAATTCACAGTCTGAGGAATCAAGCCATGCTTTCTCCTAGAGCAGAGGTCTCAGGTGGGAAAAGCACAGACAAAAGAGACACAGCTATACCTGCCCTGAAGCCTAGATTGACAGACAGCAAGAATAACAGATGAAGATAAACTTTCTCCTTATTCCTGAAGTCCTTGACTGTGTTATAGTCAATCCTCCAATATTCTTACCTCAAGGTATATTCTTTTTTTTTAAATAACTTTTTTTCATTTATTTTACATACTGACCACAGTTTCCCCTCTGTCCTCTCCTACCTGTGGTGATATTGTGTTCCCCAATATATCGTGCACCCTAATAAATTTATCTGGGGTCAGAGAACAGAACAGCCACTAGAGAGACATAGAGGCCAGAAAATGGTGGCACACACACCTTTAATCCTAGCCTTCTGGAGGCAGAGATCCATCTGGATCTCTGTGAGTTCAAAGCCACAATGAAAACAGCCAGGCATAGTGACACACGCCTTTAATCCCAGGAAGTGATGGTAGAAAGCAGAAAGGTTTATAAGGTGTGAAAACCAGGAACTAGAGCTGGTTAGGCCTTTAGGCTTTTGAGCAACAGTTCAGCTGAGATTCATTCTGGATGAGGACTCAGAGGCTTCCAGTCTGAGGAAACAGGATCAGCTGAGGAACTGGTGAGGTGAGGTGGCTGTGGCTTGTTCTGCTTCTCTGATCTTCCAGCATTAACCCCAATGCCTGGCTCCAAGTTTGTTTTTATTAATAAGACCTTCTAACAATTCATGCTATACCTACCAGTACCCCCTAACCCCCAGTCCCCCCACCCCACTTCCCATCTCCCTCCCTCCCCTTTCACTCCTCCCCCACCTCCATGCAGAAAGGGGCAGGCCTCCCATGGTCTTGAGCAAAGCATGGCACATCAAGCTGAGGCAGGACCAAGCTCCTCCCCCTTTTGTCAAGGCTGGGCAAGGTAATCCGGCATGGGGAAAAGGTTCCCCCAAACCAGCTAAGCTCCAGGGACAGGCCCTGATCTCACTGCTAGGAGCCTTACACAGAGACCAAGCTATACCACTGTCACACACATGCAGAGGGCCTAGGTCGGTCCCACAGAGACTCCCTAACTGTTGGTCCAGAGTCCATGAGCTCCCATGAGCTCATGTCAGCTGTCTCTGGTGGGTTCCCCCCCGTCACGACCCCCCTGGCTCATACAATCCCTCAAGGCATATTCTAGACCACATTTTATATATTAGCAAGCCCCTCCACCCTAGAATATGTTATAAAATGCCTTCTCTTCATTCCCTGGGATATTCCATTGCACACATCTTCCTGCTGGCTCATGGCACACAAGATAAAACCAAATGGATTCCCTTTTCTGAATAAAAGAACTCCCATTTCTTCTCAGCCCTCCCCCCAGGAAATTCAGTCAACGCCTTCCTGTCTTTCCTGCAGTGTATTTTTTTAATTAAATCTTAAAATTTTGTTTTTAAGATTTTTCTTTTATTTTAAATTATATGTGTATGTGTGTGCCTGGGCTCTCAGAGGTGTTGCTAGAGTTTTCCTGGTCCTGCACGGCCCATGGTCAGGACAAATCTCTCTCACCCCCAAGTCCCACAGCTGCTCAGACTCAACCAAGT